CCCAAACCCAAGGGTACAACCTTAAGGGTCATAGAGTCCCCTTTTACCCCCCCCTTAAACAACCCATAATTTGGCTTGAGTATCCCTAGATAGCCTTAATTTTGTGGGGAACCTAGGGGGGGGGGTGTGGCATAGAGGGGGGTCGTAGGAAAACCCATGATTCAGGATCCGAGGTGACAAGTGGAACCTCTGCGGCGTGAGCGACTTCCATCTTGATCTCACTCTCCAGGGCCTGATAATCAGGCTTAGCTACACAGGGCCGAGGGGCAGCCCTGAAAAAGGGGGGGTGCCTTCTTGGGTCCTTCCGATAAGGGTGCCATGCTGGTAGGACCCAAAAGGGGATCCTAAGTAAGAGAACCCAAATGCTGCACGGACACTTCGTGGTGTTCCAGGGTTGAACCCCCCCCTCCTTTAAGGACCCTTTCATGGTGGGTCGGGTGAATGCCGCCCCTTGCAGCGACACCAAACCCCAAGCAAGCAAATTCGGATACCCGCAAAGACCAGAGACCACCCCAAACCCCAAACCCCAAACCCCAAACCCCAAACCCCAGCCCTAAGCCCTGCACCCAACCCTGAACCCCCCCCCCCCCCCCCCCCAAAAAAAAAAGCCGGCGCCAAGTTGCTAGACGCTCCATCTTCTCGGCTTCGCTCTCCATCTTCCTTTGAGGGTTTAGGGTTTCGGTTTCGGGTTTAGGGCTAGGGTTTAGGGCTTGGGGCTAGGGGTTTGGGGTTTAGGCTTTCGGGCCTAGGGTTTAGCGTTTAGGGATGCACGCTCTGCTTCGGCACGGGATCGCTTCCTGAACCAATCGGATGGTCCGGAAAGAAAATTTCAAAGCCCAATCTGGCACCCTAAGCCCCAAGAGCCCTCTCTGTCTAGGGTTTAGGGTTTAGGGTTTAGGGTTTAGGGTGTAGGGTTTAGGGTTTAGAGTTTAGGGGTCAGTATCTTCTTTGCTGAGTTCAAAAGCCCCCCCAAAAAAAGTGCACACGTTCAGAACTCGAGGGGATGATCGTATACCCAAAAAGTGTAAAGTGTGCTCACTCAGCTACCAAGTAAAGCCCTTGAGCCTCAGGCCCAAAGAACCTAAACCCTGCAACCCAGAACCCTACGCCCTACTAAGGGGAAGCCTGCTCTGGGAACTTACTTCCCAGATCCCCTTCAGGGGCCTGGGCGGCCCTATGTGTTGACATAGTGCGGAGATGGGGGTTTGGGGTATGTAGGGGTGAAATTGGCCCTTCTTGAACCCGAAGCCTTGAAAGAATCCGGTCGTGTCGCGAAAGGCTCTTCCCGCAACCTGACCCCTCTTTTTGGCCGCCCGCCTAGCTGAACAGTCGCAGGGTTTTGGCTTGATTTTGTCAGACGCACGGGTTTGGGGTTTAGGGTTCAGGGTTCTTGCTTAGGGCGCCCCTAAACCCTAAACCCTAAACCCTAAACCCTAAACCAGCCTTCTGGTTAGGAATCTCGAGCTGCCAACTGAGTGGTCGAAGCCAGTAGAGCCCCAAACTCCAGCCTTTGCGAAACGCAACCTGTGGACCCCAGATCCTGTAGACCCTGACCCCAGAGCTCATCCAGGCGTCTTGCCCATGGACAGCCACTCCTCCCGCCCGGACATGACGTTTCGCAGCTCAAGGTCATCCGGACCTGCAGGTCAGAGTTTAGGGTTTAGGGTTTAGGGTTACGGGTTTAGGGTTTGGGGTTTGGGGTTTAGGATCTAGGATTTCGGAGTTCTTGCTTCCCCTCCCCCTGACCCCGACGACCATGGAATAGTCCTGGGTGGATGGTTTCTATTTCCTGCTTCTGTAAGTGAGGATGCAGGTGGCGGGGGTTTCGGGTTTAGGGCTTTTCGGGCTCTTGGATTCAGGCTTAAACCTCTAGCACCGACATGGGTCGAAGGGCTCAAAGGCTGGGGTGCTTGCGGGTGAACCGGAGAATCAAAGGGGTTTAGGCTTTAGGGTTGAGTTGTCAGGCAGTTGGGCCTTACAACATTTAACTTCCAAGGCAGAGCCTTTTCAACGAGGTCTCTCTCAAGGCATACCCTAAACCCTGCTAAACCCCAAACCCTAAACCGTTTGCCCAAGACAACATTGAAATCCAAGAACATCTGACTACAAGGGATTGAAAATCATGAAGAGGAAAACTTCGAAGCGTGATTCGTACCCTAAACCCTGAACCCCTGAACCCCTTTTGCATCCAGGTCTCACGCCACCCCTGAACCCCTAAACCCCTAAACCCCTAAACCCCAAAACCCCAAAACCCTAACAAGGAGTCTACTGCTTCGGCTTGCAAGAGAGTCTCTGTAGGAGCCCTCCCAACATGAAGCCTACGCATCATACTCGCACCTAGCTTGGTTTAGGTAGGGTTTTAGGGTTTAGGGGTTGTAGGGGTTTAGGTTGGGATGCTCCCCCGTATACGAACAGTTCTTAATAGGGATGATAATAGGGGGTACCGTAATCCCTCAGGACTGTGAGAAGAAGGAAACATCCCCACTTGCGAGAAATGCTAGATATATTCTTTGGGAGCTCCTCATAAGAAAAGGCTAGAAGAGATTTTGTCTGCAACCGGTTGTGTCTAAGTCTGTTAAGGGGCCTCATTCGACTCCCAAGCTCCCGAGTTTGTGGGCTTCGACAGCAAGACCCTTCTACTGCTTCTAAGGGTTTGGGGAAGGGTTTTGGGTTTAGGGTTTAGGGTCTAGGGTTTAGGTTTTAAGGTTTAGGGTTTAGGAGTTTTCAGGGTTTTGCTTGGGGTTTTTCAGGGTTTTGAAGCTTCCGGCGCCTGTGCCGGTAGCCGGAGGGGCTTCATCCGACGAAGCCGTCACGAGGTCCTTCTTCACCCAAGGCTTTGGGGGTTGGGTTTTAGAGGGGACATGGGGAATGGGGTTTAGGGGTTTGGGGGTTTAGGTTGAAATTGTTCCCCCTTCTACTCACGGTCCTTAATAGGGATTACTAATAGGGGGTACTATAATCCGATTAAGGACTCTTAGTGTAAGGGGAAACATCCCGAGGTCCAGGGGCTTAGGGGGGCTTCTTTGGGCTCTGAGAGCGAGGTGCACTTCGGGTGGTCTAAGGCTGAGGGCTTCAGGGCTCTTTTCGCCGTGAACCTGGGGCTTCCGAACTGATTTATTCAAGAAGGGAGCAAGGTCCGAGTGCACTCTGAAAGAAATCCAGGAATGCAGGAGAGAGCAGGATTGGCAAAACGGCTGGATGGGGGTTTGGGTTCAGCTGTAAACCCTCAACCCTGAACTTAGACCCCAAACCCCTAAACCCTTAGCTGCTGGGTTCATAAGCCCCAAAAAAGGTGTACACTTTCAGTTCTATAGGGGATCATAGTATCCCAAAAAGTGTACAGCGTGCTCACTCAGCTACTAAGAAGCCTAAACCCCAGATTACCAAACCCTAAACCCTAAACCCTAAACCCTAAACCTCTGGCCGAAGGCTCCGGGCTCTGCGCATCCTGGCTTTGATCTGCCAAGTCCCCCTCTGCACTGGGTGCGGGGATGCCGTGCAGGCTGTCCTCTTGGGATTTGACCGTTCAGAGTTCTCATCTATACTCCCCTTAAAACCTTAAACACATTTTAAAGTTTTCAGTATTCCCTTGGGTTTTATGTAAATAGACGCTACAACTCCTAAGGGACTTTAGTCATTGCGACCTGGGGTACTTCCCATGTGCTTGGGGTTGAACGTATGCACGGAGCTTTCTTACCAAAGGTGTCCTCGGCTTCCACCAGAGGCACTGCAGTTTCGGGGGCCGCCGCCTCTACCTCGCCTTGCGCAGCTTGTTCGTGAGCCTCGGCAGTTTTGGGCGGGAGGGTCTCCGTCTCGGGTGCTTCGGGTGCTGGCGGCTGAGCTGGTGGGGCCGCTGCAGGGGCCGTGGGCATGGCTGGTGGCATGGCCGGCGGCATGGCCGGTGGCATGGCCGGAGGCATCGCCGGGGGCATCGCAGGCGGTTGCGGTGCTAGGGCTGGCGGTCTGGGAGGCTCCGCTGGGGCAGGTGGAGGGGCCTGGGCGTGGCACATGCTGACGAATATCACCGAGAGCCGCGCGCTTGCGATCCATGCGCACAGTCGCATTGCGCGATGGGCGGTGGCTGTGGCAACCCTGGTGCGGGCAAAAGACGTCTTGATGCAGCAAACCTTCCCTAGCTACCTCTGCTGTCTCTGCGTCTGTGAGAGACTCCTGCTCTATGCCGGCGAAGTTTGTGAGGTGTGTATGGGTGTGTCTTGGCTCCGGAATCGGGAAGGGCAAGTTGCACTACAGTGCCTTGACAATGTGCCCCTCTGCCGCACTGCGATCACTAGAAGCCAGAAGAAGATTGGCAAAATCACACCCCCCAAGCCCTGAACCCTAAACCTTAAGGTTGACGTTGCATATCCAGAAACCCTTAACCCTAAACCCCAAACCCTGAACCCTAAGCCCTAAACCCCAAACCTGGAGGCAGCCTCTTGCGCCTCTTTCTCCCGAAGCTTTGAGCCGGAGCAGGCACCGAATCAAAGCAACTAGCCCACCATGCCCACCCGGGTGTACACCTCTTGGGCTTTGGGGCCTATAGGGTTTAGGGTTTTAAGGTTTTCGGGTTTAGGGGTTTAGGGTTTTAGGGTTTTTAAGGTCTTAGGGTTTAGAGTTTTAGGATTTTAACAGGGCTAGAGGGGGGGCGGGTAGGGATGCAGGAGCTACGCAAGTCCTGTGCCCGTCCGTCATGGTGCTTGGTTGCACTTACTACCGTGGACACTCTGTGAATACGCCGGCCCTAACTCTTCAGTCGGGCAGAAGATGTGTGCAACCATCAAGGAGGATGAGTTGTGTGCACGGGTTCGCATGCAATTGAGTGTTCGTAGTGTGCATTGAGTGTGCCAGCTTGTTATGAGAATGTCAATCCTGAACCTTCATGTCCTGCTTGCGGGGTGTCCGAGAAACCCTGTGGGATGAACCCCAGGCAGGCTCGGCCTACAGCAAACACGTGCTAAAGCTTCTTAGAGAAGCTTCGCGTTTACCCGGCTGGGCCTTGCCTTGGGGACCTCCTGCTGGCGAACGATGTTCAGTGCAACCTGCTTGGTGGGGTTTAGGGTTTAGGGCTTCGAAGGGTCAACCGCAATGAAATCAAGGCGGGCAAGAATCTTGCGAGACCCGAAGCAACACCACCCACCTTCGACTCCTTATCTACCAGGACCCTCTGACACGCCGAAAACCCTGAAGGCATTTGGGCCGGAAACCCCAAAGCCCAAACCCTAAACCCTAAACCCTAAACCCTCAAGGACAGCCCAGGATGACAAGCGAGTCCTCAGTGGCTGTGCGGTTGCAGCTGGATTTGCTTTCTTTCGGTTCAGGGTTTAGGGTTTAGGGTTTAGGGTTTAGGGTTTAGGGTTTAGGGTTTAGCGGTTAGGGTTTAGGGTTTAGGGTTTAGGGGGGCTGGGGCCGTCTGGCTTTTGTGGGACAGGAGCGCGGTGACGAGAAGAGAGGAAACGAGGGGAGGGGGAAGAGGCGGAGGGAGGGAGAGGGGAGGGAGAGGGGAGGGAAAGGGGAGGGAGAGGGGAGGGAGAGGGGAGGGAGAGGGGAGGGAGAGGGGAGGGAGAGGGGAGGGAGACGGGACCCGAATTTGGAACCTGCCATGTGACAGTATGCAGAAGTCCTAAACCCTAAACCCTAAACCCTAAACCCCAAACCCTGAACCCCAAACCCTAAACCCCAAACCCTAAACCCCATACCCTTGACGGGCACCTTCCGGGAGACTTTGTCGATCAACTTCCGCAGCTGTCGCACGCCCGCCTCGGCAGAGAGTTGTGGCTCTTTGCTGGGTTTAGGGTTGAGGGTTCAGGGTTCAGGGTTTAGGGTTTAGGGTTTTAGGGTTTAGGGTTTAGGGTTTAGGGTTTAGGGTTTAGGGTTTAGGGTTTAGGGTTTAGGGTTTAGGGTTTAGGGTTTAGGGTTTAGGGTTTAGGGTTTAAGGTTTAGGGTTTAGGCTTCGGGCTTCGGGCTTCGGGTTGGGTTTGGGGCTCATGGTGAGATTGAGGTTCTTCGGCTCTCCGAAGTCCCTTAACCTTTTTAAGAGGGCACCTAAATAACCAACTTCCTACTAAGAGCCAGCGAGAAATGTTGGGTTTAGGGTTTAGGGTTTAGGGTTTAGGGTTTAGGGTTTAGGGTTTAGGGTTTAGGACAAGCGCCGAAAAAGAAGCCCGGGAGGCCAGATTGTAGGGCGAGATCTTTGACCGTCACGAGCCTAGTTTGTTTTTGGATGTTTAGGGTGGTTTAGGATTTAGGGTTTAGGGTTTAGGGTTTAGGATTTAGGTTCAAATCTGGAACTCGCAGCGCCAAAAGCATAGGCAGTCCATTGCCGTCAGGGTATGACAGCACCGGCGCATTCACAACATGTTCGCAGACAAGAAGTACCAGCTCAAAAACCCTAAACCCAAAGAACTCGGTGGGTCTAGAGTTCCGCAGGGGCTTAGGGTATGAGGGCTGTCCGAGTTTAGGGTTTGCCCCAAACCCTAGACCCTAGACCCTAAACCCTAAACCCTAAACTTCAAAGCTCGGACGGCCACAGACCTCGGCACATCTTAAGCCCGACTGAGGCCTAGGTTCTGGAGCCTACATTAGGGTTTAGGGTTTAGGGTTCCTAAACCCTAAACCCTAAACCCTAAACCCTAAACCCGAAACCCTAAACCATCTAGAGCCCAAAAAAAACCTAAGAGCCTGGTTTCCCCAAGCCCTGCAGCCCTTCTTCCTCGCAACCCTGTTGTATCAGGCTTTGGGTTCAGGATTAGTGGGGTGCTTAGGATTTAGGATTTAGGGTTTAGGGCTAGGGTTTAGGGTTTAGGGTTTAGGGTTTAGGGTTTAGGGTTTAGGGTTTAGGGTTTAGGGTTTAGGGTTTAGGGTTTAGGGTTTAGGGTTTAGGGTTTAGGGTTTAGGGTTTATAATAGGGTTTATAGGGTTTAGGGTTCAGGGTTGTTTAGGGTTTAGGGTTTAGGGTTTAGGGCTAGGGTTTAGGGTTTAGGGTTTAGGGTTTAGGGTTTAGGGTTTAGGGTTTAGGGTTGAGGGTTGAGGGTTTAGGGTTAGGGCTCATAGGGGTTCATATGTTCACAGTGTGGGTTCATAGGGTTCACAGCGGGGTTCATAGCCAGGGCTCCTGGGGTTCGCAGGGTTCCTAGTGAGGGCTCGTAGGGTTTATAGCCGGGCTTCATGGGGAGTCCTAAACCCGAAACCCGAAACACGAAACCCTAAACCCTAAACCCTAAACCCTAAACCCTAAACCCTAAACCCTACCCTAGATTCGGTAGGGTTCAGGGTTTCGGGACCCTGGAGACCCTCTGTCCTGAAACCTGGACACTAGGGCCCGTGCCTCGCGAGCCTCCGCCGGTTTAGATAGGGTTTAGGGTTTCTGCGGAAGGGTTCGGGGTTTCTAGATTGCCTCCCTTTCTTGGTGAGCATTCCTACTATTTGCCTAAGCCCCCTCCCCCCCCCCCCCCCCCTCTCCTCCTCCCCCCCCCCCCCTCCTCTCCCCCCCTCCCCCCCCCTCCCTGCCCCTCCCCCCCCCCCCCCCCTCCCCCCCCTCCCCCCCCCTCCCCCCCCTCCCCCCCCCCCCCCCCCTCTAGACCCCCCCGCAACCAATTTGGGGTTTTTGCTCGCCCTCTACAAACCGGAACGGCTTTGCCTGAGCCGAGACCAAATAAACAGATTCGCAGATTCGTTTTTGGATGACACAGCCTTCTTTTCCCCAAACCAGGATCTCCGGGCGAAGAACTTCGCATAATTGCGGGTAACTCTTGTCAATTGGGGCATCCTCGATAATTTTTCCGGAACTGCATAACAGCGGGTAACGATACTAAACGGTTGCAACATTGTAAGGGCAAAACCCTAAACCCTAAACCCTAAACCCTAAACCCTAAATGTTGGGTGATTCTCAAGCAATTCGTACCGAGGCCCAGGCAGGGCTCCGGGGTTCGGGAGGCTCAGGGGTCTGGGAGGCTGGGGATTAGGGTTTTGAGGTTTACTAGGTGTAGGGTTTTTTTTGGGGTTTTAGTGCTTGGGTTCAGAGCTTCGGGGGAAGGGGCCAATCAAAGCTTCGGAGGCTCAGGGATTTAGGGCCCCAGGGTTCGGAGTTTCGACAGAAGCCCTAAACCCACCCAAACAAGGACATCTAGGGACTGACTTCTCCAACAGCCGTGCGAATGGAAAAGGATACGCATGATGGACTGTCTTTTTATAAGGAAAGCTGAATTTTAGGGCTTAGGGTTTAGGGTAATAAAGCAAGCCCCCCGCGACACGCATCGCGCTTAGGATGTTCAAGGTTAGGGTTTAGGGGTTTAGGGGTTTAGGGGTTTAGGGGTTTAGGGGTTTAGGGGTTTAGGGGTTTAGGGGTTTAGGGGTTTAGGGGTTTAGGGGTTTAGGGGTTTAGGGTTTAGGGTTTAGGGCCAGGTCTATTCTGATGCGAGCCGAATTCCGAGAAGGAGCCCTAAGCCGCTGCTTGAAAACGGGCCCATGGTAGTCTGAGGCCACCCTATACAACACACAGGGTTTAGGGTTGAGGGTTTAGGGTTTAGGGATTAGGGTTTAGGGTTTACATGTTTGCCCCTACTAAGTCCTGGCAGCTCCATACGCTGAGGGGCAGGCGTAGTCACGGATAATCTTCTTCATGGCCTCTTCCTGCTCCATGTTGGGATGCGCTTATTAGGGATTAGGGTTTAGGATTTAGGATTTAGGGTTTAGTACTTGTAAGTTGGGATGTTCCGGCTTATACTAACAGCCCTTACTAGGGATTTTTCGTACCCCTTGCTTTCATCCCCAATAAGGACTGCTGGTATAAGGGGGAACATCCCAAGCTCCATGTGTCACGCAAACAGCAGCTGAAGCCTATACTCCCCCTAGAACCTTAACAAAAAACAGTATTTTAACAATTTTCCTTGAGGTTCAACAAGAAAAGGTCATTCCTAAGAGGGCTATAGAAGCAGCTACATGCCACCACTTTGCATACTCTGTGCGCCGCCACTCCGCTTCAACCCCGCGTTCCGCCTGCAGATCCCGGCTCAGCCTCCCACCGCAACCGACTTCTCAGTTTTCATGCGTGGGAACGCACATGCAGGTTTCTGGAATCTTCTAGCCATGCGCAAGAAGGTAACTGAAGGGAATAACTTATCATAAGCTATCTTTGCCAGTTGCCACGCTCTGCAAGTTCCAGTCACTCACGGCTCGAAGCACCCTAAACCCTAAACCCTAAGCCCTAAGCTCGAGGGTTGTTGCTTCTCGGGCACTTTCTGCAAGACCCTCGTATACTAACAGTCCTTAACTTGGCTGCACTTAGTAGGGTAGTTTTTTTTAATTAAGAACCCAAATGGACCCAAAAAGGCTAAGGATCTAAGGTTACATTAAAGCACCACAGAGTTAATAGGGATTGCAATGGCGGGGTGGGGGGGGGTGGGGGACGATAATCCCTATTTAGGACTGTTAGTATCAGGGGGGAATATCCAACGTCTGAACTGTCAACCCCGAAAAGGCTACCTGGTCAGTTCTAAAAATTATGGTCCCTTTTTGGGTACCCTGCATAATAGGAAGCCACCTTAAAATAAGGACCCGGGTGGAACACGTGTCTATCCTTTGCAGTGCCTCAGCCCTAAACCCTAATTTCTATACCCTGAACCTGGTGCAATGCTAGGATGGCCCTTAAAAAAACCGTCTGGAAAAGATTCCTGAATGTGATCCTCTCAAACCAAAACAGGGGACATGCAAGATGTCCCAAGGGCCTAAACCCTAAACCCTAAACCCCAAACCCCAAACCCTAGACCCCAAACCCCAAACGCTAAACCCTAAACCTAGAACCCGATCCTGCCTCCAATGTGAGCTTCCCTTCGCCTTGCAGCTGAAACCAGATCCTAAACCCTAAACCCTGAACCCTGAACCCTGAACCCTGAACCCTGAACCCTGAACCCTGAACCCTAAACCCTAAACCCTAAACCCTAAACCCTAAACCCTAAACCCTAAACCCTAAACCCTAAACCCTAAACCCTAAACCCTAAACCCTAAAAACTAAACCCTAAACCCTAAACCCTAAACCCTAAACCCTAAACCCTAAACCCTAAACCCTAAACCCTAAACCCTAAACCCAAAACCCTAAACCCTAAACCCTAAACCCTAAACCCTAAACCCAAGCCCCAGGGGTGACCGTACCGAGGGTGGAGGGATGGGGCACTCCGGTGCAGCTTCTTACGGCTTGAAGTTTAGGGTTTAGGGTTTAGGGTTTCGGGTTTAGGGTTTTGTTTTCGGTTTAGGCTTCAGGGTTTAGGGTTTCGGGTTTAGGGTTTCGGGTTTAGGGTTTATGGGGCACCCGCGCAACTTCCTAAGACTTGAAGTTTAGGGTTTAGGGTTCAGGGGTTTTTTTGGCACCAGCATAACTGGACGAGGGTTTAGGGAGGAAGTGGAAACACCCCCGAGTCGTCACGACTGAGGCCATCACGCACGCAAAGCAACCACCAAGCAGCGCACTCATGACACCGTTCGCAACAGAGGCCACCGATCAGTGCACTCTTGGTTTAGGGTTTAGGGTTTTAGGGTTTAGGGTTTAGGGTTTTGGGATGACACCGCCAATTATCTGCTGAAGCCTGAATCCTCAATGTCCGCACGCTGCCAGGTCCCTGGCCCACCCCGTTCTCTGCCAGAGTTGCAGGGATCAGGTACCTCTACAGTCTTGAGGTTCCTATAAACCCTAAGGTTCCTATAAAACCCTAAACTTCCCTAAGCCCTATAAACCCTATAAATCCTGAACTTCTTTAACTCGAGTCCCCAAAGCCTGCAAAACCCTAAACCCCAGAGGCCGTAAGCTCTAAACTTCCTAAGGGACTCGGGCAGGCACGAACCCCCAAAAAAAATGGGCCACAAACAGATGGTGTGCGACAAAGGCAATCAGAGTCTCAGGGTCAAGACCTGGGTTAAAGCCGCAACTGATAGATGCAAGCATTGCACTAGCGCGCGTGTGGAGAAGCACACATAAGTGTGCAGAATGGCGGTTGGTTAGCCTGCTTGTAACCCCAGGGTGTGTGGCTCACGGTCTTCTCTCGCAACTTCACCCGCGCAGCGCGGTTGGACTTGGAAACCCAAAGACTCTAAGCCACTCAAAAAAAGGAATCCAAAAAAACACCCAAACGCACCTTAAGGACCGAATAAACCCCAAAGACTTTAGGGCTCGCATACCATTTTAAGTGTGGGATCTTGTAGTAGAGGGTAGGTGATCACCAGCAAGTGGCATGTGTAGTATAGGTTGGGATGTTCCCCCTTATACTAGCAGCCCTGCGTGGGGATTCCAATAGAGGGTACTATGATGCCCATTAAGGGCTGTTAGTATAGGGGGGAACGCTGCAAAGTACAGGGTGCGCCGGAAAGCAGGGCAGTCTTGACATTTTCAAACTCAAGGTTCAAGACTCTGCGGTCCTGTGCTACTCTTTGCTTACGAACCCCCAAAAAACTAAAAGGTAACACTCCCTATACTTTGCTTAAGAACCCCCCCCCAAAAAAAAAAATAAAACAAAACAAAAAAAAAAATATATATATGTATATATATATATAAGCTAAAAAGGGTTAACAATCCCTATCGTACCCTTTCAGCAAAGAGTAGGGGCAACTCCAGAGGCCCCAAAGGGAACAGAGCCACATGTTGCAGGCCCACTGGTTGGCGATGGCAAGCTTTTCTTCAAAGACGTAGCCGGGAATTCGGATCACCTGCCGATTTTGGGGTCTTTGGGCATCCTGCCGGTAGGGTAAGAGGGTTCAGGGTGAACCGTAAAGCTCTGGACCCCCTCTCTTGTGGGATAAGAGCACGTGAGTTCAGGGCACAAACCCTGAACCCTAAACCCTAAAACCGTAAACCGTTTCTGAGGAAACAAAACGAGAAGCCAACACAAATTGAAACCCAAACCCCTCAACACTCTCAACTGGGGTGGTAGGTCCTGCAATTCGAGGTTCTCTAGCAACCTAGTTAGGAGCAAGGAAGGGCACGCTAAACCGTTAACCTTAGGTTTAGGGTTTCGGGCTTTGAGGGTCCAAACCTTCATCCAAAGATGAGATGCACCCCCCAAAATAGATAATCCTTATCATAGAAGCCATCGTATCCCGCAGAATACTACTAACCCTAAACCCTAAACCCTAAACCCTAAAACCTATACCCTAAACCCTAAACCCTAAACCCTAAACCCTGCCGACATAGCAGACCCATCGGTACGGCCCTGCAGATGACCTCCGAGCTTAGCTTCGAGTCTTACGAAGCCATCCCAGGACCGCAATCCTCAACCGAGCCATAGGGTTTAGGGTTTAGGGTTTAGGGTTTAGGGCTTAGGGACCAGGCCGCTCCACCTGGTGACCCTTTCGTCCCAGAGAGTCGGAATTCTGAATTCCCGTCTCAAGGCAGAAGAATGGGCTTCTTACAACAAGGGTCCTAAGGCATGTCCGCACACGGCTCATCAAGGGCTTGGGGGTTTAGGGTTCCTAAACCCTAAACCCTAAACCCTAAACCCTAAACCCTAAACCCTAAACCCTAAACCCTAGCCCCATCTTCAACCCCAAAAACCTGAAAGAAAACCTCAAACGCGGGGGGGGGGGGGGGGGGGGGGTCGGTGCACAATTTTTTCGTGGAGGACCGCACCACCCGCACAGCTAAACAGGCGGTTCAGCACAGGGGGGTACCTCAGCAAAATCAGCGTTTGAGCCACCCCCCCCCCCCCCCCACCCACCCCCCCCCCCTCCCCCCACCCCCCACCCCCCCCCCCCCCCCCCACCCCCCCCCCCCCCCCCCCACCCCCCCCCCCCCCCCCCCCCCCCACCCCCCCCCCCCACCCCCACCCCCCCCCTCTCACGCCCACGACCCACCCCCTGCCCCCCCACCCCCCCCTTCCCTTGAGCTTGTCCTGGTGCTGCCCCCTACCCCCCCCCAAACGTTTCACAGAACTCTGCCGAGCAGGCTGGGATGATCTTCGAACGAGCGGGTTTAGACCTCTCAACTATGCTCCAACGGGGTCGGCGGCTTGAGCCGGAGGCTCTTAAATCCGGCCCCCGCGCCGCCCGTGCTCCAGGGCGGAGCCCGCGTCGCACTAACACTAAAGCGCTAGCTTTAAGGGGCGAGCGCCCGAGCCGCCGACCCCGCCCAAAATTGCTTCAAATTCGCGCGGGGCCCTTCGGGAGGCCTCCAAAACGGCATCCAAGGGGACGCAACACGCGGTGGTGCGAAAAGCACGAAAACCTCGTAAAAACCATGGGTTTTTACGAAAAACCGAGGCCACAAAACACCCGCAGCACCCCATTAAACCCTCACGGGCGCGCATCATCGGCCCTAGCTTTTCACATGGGGCGCGCGCCAGGCCGAAACCACGTTTTTCAAGGTTTGGGGGGGGTACCGGAAGCCCAAAACCAGGCGAGCATCATGAGCATCAGCAGCCCTGGCCCGCGGGCCCAAGGCAATAAAAAACGCTGAAAAACGCTGAAATCACCGTAAATACCGTGTTTTTATGAGGTTTTTCACGCGTGCCTCCGACCCCCACCCCTGTTGCCCTTGACCCGCCCCCAAAGTGCGCATCATCGAAACCCACGTCCGGGGGGGGGTCTGCTGATGCTGCTGATGCGCGGGGTCCGGGCGCATCATCGAGCCATCGCTTCTCTTGGGCTTCGTGGGGGGTCCGGGCCCACGGCCCAGAGACCCAGCTGATGCTCATGATGCTCGGTTTGGGGGGGTGTTCCAACAGCAGAAAACCTCGTAAATACCGAGTGTTTTGTGGGTCCACGTAAAAACGCCCCTAAAATCGCTCATTTTACGCGCTCGAACGGCTTCGTGCCTACAAAACACCCGAACAGCAGGACCCCGAATGCCCTTAAGGGCATTCGGGGTCTTGCTTTTGGGGGTTTCGTGGGCACGCAAGCGTTCAAGCACATACAATCGGCGTGTTTAAGGGGGTTTTGGATGGCCTGGGGGAGGCCGCTGATGCTCATGATGCTCCCTTTCCTGGGTCCCAAAAGGCTTCCCAAGCCCAAAAACACGTGTTTACAGCGTTTTCTGAAGGTTTTTCGAAGGCAAAACGCATGCATAGAATGCTTTTAAGGCCCCCAAACCAACCCCACTGATGCTCCTGATGCGGGTGCGCGCGCGCGCGCGCGCGCCGGGGGGGGGGGGGGAGGGAGGGGGGGCGAAGGCAGGAGAAAGAGAGACAGAGAGAAGGAGAGGACAAAGACACGGGAAAGAGAAGACAGTGCCAAGGTTCAAGGTTTCGTGCTTTGGGGGGCGGGGGCCGGCCCGTGCCGCTAGGCCTGAAATCCGGCCCCCGCGCCGCCCGTGGTCCAGGGCGGAGCCCGCGTCGCACTAAAGCGCTAGCTTTAAGGGGCGAGCGCCCGAGCCGCCGACCCCGCCCAAAATTGCTTCAAATTCGCGCGGGGCCCTTCGGGAGGCCTCCAAAACGGCATCCAAGGGGACGCAACACGCGGTGGTGCGAAAAGCACGAAAACCTCGTAAAAACCATGGGTTTTTACGAAAAACCGAGGCCACAAAACACCCGCAGCACCCCATTAAACCCTCACGGGCGCGCATCATCGGCCCTAGCTTTTCACATGGGGCGCGCGCCAGGCCGAAACCACGTTTTTCAAGGTTTGGGGGGGGTACCGGAAGCCCAAAACCAGGCGAGCATCATGAGCATCAGCAGCCCTGGCCCGCGGGCCCAAGGCAATAAAAAACGCTGAAAAACGCTGAAATCACCGTAAATACCGTGTTTTTATGAGGTTTTTCACGCGTGCCTCCGACCCCCACCCCTGTTGCCCTTGACCCGCCCCCAAAGTGCGCATCATCGAAACCCACGTCCGGGGGGGGGTCTGCTGATGCTGCTGATGCGCGGGGTCCGGGCGCATCATCGAGCCATCGCTTCTCTTGGGCTTCGTGGGGGGGTCCGGGCCCACGGCCCAGAGACCCAGCTGATGCTCATGATGCTCGGTTTGGGGGGGTGTTCCAACAGCAGAAAACCTCGTAAATACCGAGTGTTTTGTGGGTCCACGTAAAAACGCCCCTAAAATCGCTCATTTTACGCGCTCGAACGGCTTCGTGCCTACAAAACACCCGAACAGCAGGACCCCGAATGCCCTTAAGGGCATTCGGGGTCTTGCTTTTGGGGGTTTCGTGGGCACGCAAGCGTTCAAGCACATACAATCGGCGTGTTTAAGGGGGTTTTGGATGGCCTGGGGAGGCCGCTGATGCTCATGATGCTCCCTTTCCTGGGTCCCAAAAGGCTTCCCAAGCCCAAAAACACGTGTTTACAGCGTTTTCTGAAGGTTTTTCGAAGGCAAAACGCATGCATAGAATGCTTTTAAGGCCCCCAAACCAACCCCACTGATGCTCCTGATGCGGGTGCGCGCGCGCGCGCGCCGGGGGGGGGGGGGGAGGGAGGGGGGGCGAAGGCAGGAGAAAGAGAGACAGAGAGAAGGAGAGGACAAAGACACGGGAAAGAGAAGACAGTGCCAAGGTTCAAGGTTTCGTGCTTTGGGGGGCGGGGGCCGGCCCGTGCCGCTAGGCCTGAAATTTAGGGGTACCTGCTAACCGACTATAACTGTACTTTTAACCCACCTATAGGGGGCTCTAATATGGTTAGAAGTACAGCTATAAATACAATTCTACTTGGTTAGTAAGTACCATGAACCTCCAAGTATACCTGAAGCCCCCGCAAGCATGCCATGCATAAGGCCCTGAGCGTACACAGTACCTGAATGGGTGCATTTTGGGTATCTTAAACGGGTACTTGCGACCCTAACCCCCTTTTTGTGCAACTGGGACTTGGTGACTGCCAGAAAGGAATCTAAACCCCTTAAACCCACTTCTTGCAAGAGATGAAGACTCGTACCCTTAAGGTTGTACCCCAAAAAGTTTCTCTGAATATACTCCTAATACGGCCCTCATATTCCCATAGGGATCCTTTAACAAGAACCCCTAAACCCTAAACCCTGGTGAGCACGGTCTTGTGCGTTTCTTTCTCTCACGAACATTGCTGCCAAAGCTTGCTGCGCTGCCAGCGCTTGCAGCTCCTGTTCGTGCGATCTGCGGAGGGGTTTACTTGGAGGTTCATAGTACTTCTTAACCAGCTGTACTTGTACACCCACTTGTAAGCCCTCTAAGTGCCCTAATACGGCTATAAGTACAGTTATAAGTACAGTCCATAATTGGTTAATAAGTACCATGAACCTCCAAGTAGCCTGCGGGATTTCAGAGCACGGAAACGGTAAAAAAAATGGCAACAGCAACTGTGTAGCAATCGAAGGAACACTTGTAGTAATACCAATAGTACTAAAAACACTGATAAAGCCAAACAAAATAAAATAAAAAAAACAATAGCAATAAAAACTCGAGTAAGAATAATAAAAAAACACCGATATAATAGAAATGGTACTAATCATCATCAGCATCGTCATCATCATCACCCAGACCCTCCCCAACCAGCTCCTGCTGTCTCTGCGGGGCTTCTTCCTCGAACCTTGGGCAGCCGAGAGATCGACAAAAAAAAATCAAGCCCCGAACTCCTAAACACCCCCCCCCCCCCCCCCCCCCAAACTCAGAGTCCAGAGCTTTGTAGGGTTTAGGGTTTTAACCCTAAGGTTTAGGGTCTAGGTCTTCCTTAACTGAACTTGGAACCTTAACAAACTCTTAGTTTTTGCTGCTTCTTAGGACTTAGAACACCCCAAAAATGAAAACCATCCCAAGCATCCCTCAGAAACTCAGAGCTTGGCCCGACACACGGGAGGGGAGGCTGTGCCCGCAACGCACCGGGGGGGGGGGGGGGGGGGCTCTTTGCGCGACATCACGAGCGCCTCAACCTTAACAGAGTTTTCCTGATTAGTTGGGTTATAATCGCTCACACTCGGACAAGCCCTGTGAGGCACAGGGGTTTAGGGTTTGGGGCGATATAGGGTTTGGGTGTGGGGGTTCGGTTTCAGAGTTTGGTGTTTATGGTTTGGGGGTTTAGGAGGGGTGGGGGGGGGGGGGGGGGAGGGAAAGGTCGAGCTAGCACATGAAGGACGACTCTCGCCGATGATGTGCCGTTGCGCCAACCCTTCTGTTGCAACTGGTCCCAATTGCTGCCCGCGCCGTGGCTCTCTCTGCTTAACAGAAGAGTGCGCCGACCCTGAAATGTAAAATCGCAACCCTAAACCCTAAACCCTAAACCCTAAACCCTAAACCCTAAACCCTAAACCCTAAACCCTAAACCCTAAACCTCCTGGACTCACCCTGCCCCTTCATAAGGGCCCAGGTGTAGGGTTAGCGGGGGCAGTTGGGTACGGTGGAAGGTGTTAAGTAAGGCACACAAGATTAACTCAAGCTATGGTAGTAGTGTTCCATGGGTTCTTGCGCGCTTTTTCTCCAACGAAGCTCTTCAGCTCTTAAACCTAGCCCAACAGAGCGATGCAAAAAAACGCTGTAAAGTAGATACCAGACCCGAAACTAAGGGACTGTCTAGCAAACACTACCTTTTTTGGGCTACCTCCTCCACCTCCTAAAATGCCTCCAAGCCAAGTCCAGGCAGCTCCACTTCCAAGCGCACTCGCGGGAAAAGCGATGCCAGGCTCGACAGCGTGGCCAGCAGCGCGATGTGCGAGGAGTGGCGAACCTGCCCCGGGACATTTTCTCAGGACTCCAAACCCTTTTTCGCATAACCCCAAACCCTAAACTGTAAACCCTAAACCCTAAACCCTGAGTAAACCCCTCTTGTTGAACCCGGGCTCTGAAGTACTGCCAGGAAGCAGGAGGAGCATGCTCAAGTTGCTCAAGACTTCCTTAAGTAAACCCTGAACCCTTTTTTAAAATGGGTTTAGGGTTTATGGTTTACAGGGTTTAGGGTTTAGGGTTTGGGGTTTAGAGTTTAGGGTTTCGGGAGTTTTTGCATCCGGGCCATGATGCGCTGGCCGGAACGGCACCGCAACACTCCCAGACCGAACCCCTCGTGGCTACGACCGAGGAAGCCCTGCGAATCCACGATTCAGGAACTTCTTCACCCTGGGTCTTAGTTGCTGAGTTCATAAGCCCCCAAAAAGTGTACACTTTCAGTTCTATAGGGGATTATGGTATCCCAAAAAGGTGTGACGTGTGCTCACTCAGCTACTAATCCCTAATCCCTCAGCCAAAAACTCTAAGCGATTCGGGACTGAGGACTTTTGTGACTGGTAGGGCTTCGAAAATTCACACTCGCAAGTGCGCAGCTTGTGTTGACGTTTTAAGGCTTTAGGGAAGGGGTGCCTCCAGAAGTTAAGAGGGTGTAGGGTTTAGGGATTAGGGTGTGGGATTTAGGGTCTGGTTTTTTGTGCCAAAGATCTGCAACCAAAGGACTCCGTCTGGGGTTCCGGGGTTGTGCATCTTGGAGTCAAGGCTCCTATGCCCCTTCTGCTTCATTGCTACTATTTGCTTAAGAACCCCGAAAAATGAAACATATTCTTCTTTATTCAGGGTAATACAGGGATTATTCTTTTTGTTGAATTCTTTTGAAGTTCTTAAGCAAAGAGTAGTCATTTGGTCCCCAAGGATGGGTGCCCCCTACACTAGCCCCACAGTGCCTGAAGTCGAATCCAGCCCTCACACTCGGCTCGCGCGGCTGCGCGGGTGGGGCAGCGGCTAAGTAGGAGGCGTCCCACATGCCTGGAGACCCGAAACCCTGGGCCCTAAACCCGAAACCCTGAACCCTATCTGCTGGATGGAAGATGTAAAGGTGAGGGCTTCAGACTTGCTATTTTGCGTCACCATGTTGCAGGGTCGGAGGCCTCAGAATTTCAGAGAAGAAAGGGGAAGGACAGCATAAGGGACGAGGGTTTAGGATTGGACTAAGAATGTCTTCCAGGGACACCCATCCTATGATCTCTTACATTCTGCAGGTCAACGAGTGGGCACCTTCCTTGAAAGCCACACGAGCCCTAAAATAGGACTCGTATACCCGAGACGACTAAGATCCTTATTCAGGTACACATGGTACCCCGTGGCGTCGTGAAGGTCTATGGACCATAAACCAGCCCTAAACCCTAAACCCTAGTAAGGTTCCAAGCCCCTCCGGCCTCAGAGCCCGCAACTCTGCGGCTGCTGTGCGTGGCACATCGCCTTCAGGCAGCTTACTCGAAAGGCGCATGGGTGATTCTTTTTTTACGTAGGGCTATCGGTAGAAGGTCACCGATACCAAGTAAGATTGCCTCTGCGATAATCTTATTAGGAGACTTATGTGTGGGATCACAGATAGCCCCGTTCAAATTTGAAGCCCAGTGAAGGAATGGGCCTCCCCGGCGCCGAGCCGAAAAAAACCCAGAAGTGTGTTGGCTGCACAAGCTCAGATTTGATGTAGATTATCGGCCTGCTTGGGGTCTCAAATCTAGTATATTCCTTGCGGTTTTTGCGGGCTTGAGATCCCGAACGACCAACAAAAACCGGTTGGGGGCACGCTGCTTCGACATGGGAGAGATGTCCCACCCCCCTAAAAAACTACCAAACCCTAAACTGAGGGATTTAGGGTTCAGGGAACTCCTAAACCCTAAACCCAAAAAACCCTAAAACCCTAAACTCTAAAACCCTAGGCTCGGCCCCCGCAGAGCCGAGCTGCCCGGAAGGCGCGCGCCAGACAGGCGAGGGGCCGGTGCAAAAACTTTGCCTGTGACGTGATGGAGCTTCACCCTCGTGGTTTAGGGTTTAGGGTTTAGGGTTTTAGGGTTTTAGGGTTTAGGGTTTAGGGTTTAGGGTTTAGGGTTTAGGGTTTAGGGTTTAGGGTTTAGGGTATTATAAGAAGGGCACCAGGGCACCCTCTGTTGGGTTGGTTACTTTAAGGACAAGGGTATCGTCGGGCTGCCAAGCATTTAAGCCAGTCCTACAAAACCCGAATCTGCAGGTTAAAGGCTTAAGACGCTTCAACGCTCGACGGCTTGAAGCATGACACGACATTAGGGTCGTTTAGACAGATGCAGATCATCTTCTTCCTCTAAACGGTCCCCCCCTCCCTTCTCCCACCCCCCGCCCCAAAAAAAAAAAAAAAACTAAACCCTAAACCCAAAAAAAAGCAAGGCCCGTATGCAGACCAACCCCGTGCGGGCGCCTGGTTCCACGAAGAGCTCCCTCCGCCGCCAGATGCAGAAGCAAAGGAGCGCATCATCTTCCTCCTGCCACCTTAAGTGGCTTGGGGAGTTGTCCAGTAGCCTGGGGGAACTAAGGGTTAACCTTTGGGATTGTAAGGGGGTTATACTACCCCAAAAAGGTTAAAGGTTACCTACTCTACTACTAGGGTTACTAGGAGTTTGAAAAGGAAGAGGGGTAGGCGGGGCCAGTAAGCCTCGGAAGTTCTATAGGGCTCTAAGCCTAAATCCTAAAACCCGTAATCCAAGACCCCGACAAGCTTTGAATGCGAACTAGTAGAGTCGGGCGTGACAGCTTGTCACTACACTCCTCTGAGGACCAGAAACGCATAGTTGTCATGTTCCCTTAGGTTTTTCCAAAAAAACCCTAAACCCTAAACCCTAAAGCCCAACAACCCCTAACCCGTTCAGGTCTCACCCTGTTCTACTGCGATCCCCAAGATGTCGGGGTTTCAACCGCTGGCTGTGAGTGGACCTCAACCATCTGGACCCCAACCACCCCCTGAGGATACACTAAATCCCCCCGCATTAAGCTACACTTCTTGGCCCTTGGACCCTAAACCCTAAACCCTAAACCCTAAACCCTTAGACCTTAAACCCTAAACCCAGAAAACCCTAAAGAGGCTTCGACCTGAAAACGGAAAGCCCTGAGCCTTTCTTTTCCCCAGATTTTCAGGCCCTGAGCAGCCCCAGAGCCTCCCATCATGGGTGCCCCTACTCCTAAACCCTAAACCCTAAACCCTAAACCCTCAAAACCCCCAAAACCCCCAAAACCCCCAAAACCCCCAAAACCCCCAAAACCCCCAAAACCCCCAAAGGGTTAAAGGTTATCTACTCGGCCACAAAGCCAAAGAAGGTTTAGGGTTTAGGGTTTAGGGTTTAGGGTTTAGGGTTTAGGGTTTAGGGTTTAGGGTTTAGGGTTTAGGGTGTCGGGTTTAGGGTTTCTTGCCACCCGTCTAGCCATTCTCCACGGGGTTTAGGGTTTAGGGTTTAGGGTGCCAAACAGCCTTAACTATGGGGGGGGGAACCTAGGGGGGGGGGGATAGTAGGGGAACCCATGACTAAGATGTACTACAAGGCTTCGGGCGCGCACCCGCGAAACAGGAGGGGCTCCCAGGGCTTGAAGATAAGGCTTGGGGCTTAGGGCTTAGGGCTTAGGGCTTGGGGTTTAGGGTTTAGGGTTTAGGGTGTCGGGTTTAGGGGTTCTTGCCACCCGTCTAGCCATTCTCCACGGGGTTTAGGGTTTAGGGTTTAGGGTGCCAAACAGCCTTAACTATGGGGGGGGGAACCTAGGGGGGGGGGGATAGTAGGGGAACCCATGACTACAAGATGTACTACAAGGCTTCGGGCGCGCACCCGCGAAACAGGAGGGGCTCCCAGGGCTTGAAGATAAGGCTTGGGGCTTAGGGCTTAGGGCTTAGGGCTTGGGGTTTAGGGTTTAGGGTTTAGGGTGTCGGGTTTAGGGGTTCTTGCCACCCGTCTAGCCATTCTCCACGGGGTTTAGGGTTTAGGGTTTAGGGTGCCAAACAGCCTTAACTATGGGGGGGGGAACCTAGGGGGGGGGGGATAGTAGGGGAACCCATGACTAAGATGTACTACAAGGCTTCGGGCGCGCACCCGCGAAACAGGAGGGGCTCCCAGGGCTTGAAGATAAGGCTTGGGGCTTAGGGCTTAGGGCTTAGGGCTTAGGGCTTAGGGCTTAGGGCTTAGGGCTTAGGGCTTAGGGTTTAGGGTTTAGGGTTTAGGGTTTAGGGCTTAGGGTTTGGGGTTTGTTCCGGGTTCAGGCTTAAAAGAAACTGGAGCCAAGTAAAGTCTCGTGCACCTTTAACCCCAAACTCCCCACACCCCCTTGACGGCTCAATCCTTCAGGCATCGTAGGAAAACCCTAAACCCTAAACCCTGAAAGGTGGCAGGGTGTGCAGGGTAGGGCTCACCGGCCAGAACGCCTCAGAAACCCTGATCTTCAGACGAAGCTGCTGGCTCCGCGGGAATCGAGCGACTCCCAGCCTATAAAAAAGTGCGTGTGTGTATATATATATACATGCACCTGTATTTATTTGCTAAAATAGTGGTAGTAAAAACAATGCCGATAACAATACTATTACTAATAGTAATGATGTTCTTGTTGCAATGCATGGCTGCTTTGAGAACATCCTTGTCTCAGGATTATAGCATCAGGGCTCCGCACGAGGCTGGCTTGTGTGGACTCCCTTTTTTGAGACGCAGAACCTTTAGCCTTAGGGAGCAGGGCTTCATTAGGGCTGCTGAACCCTCATCCATGGCATTGTGGGAGTCTAAGGAAGAGCTGCCTACTGCTGCTACGATACTTGCGGGGCCACCACTCCTGCCCGCATCTGCGCAAAACCCGTGCGCCAAACGTCAGTTGTTGCAATGACCGAGCCCTCATGCACAGTTGCGGGTCGCTCTGAATGGCTCTCTCTCTCTCTCTCTCTCTCTCTCTCTTTCTAGGATGCTACCTTGCGGGGGGGGTCGTTGTTGTAACGGAATCGATTAGAAACGCCACCTATAAGGAGACCCTACTCAATCAAAAATCACGTCTGTAGGCCTAGGCACCTGCGCAGCGCCTGCCGCAGAGCTCCCGCTGCAGGATACGAAGGCCTCTTATGTGGCCCGAGAAGAGGGTTTGGGGGATGGTGCCCTAAACCCTAAACCCTAAACCCTAAACCCTTTTGCAACGGGCTTCGATACCTCGCCCGGCCAGGCTCCCCGCGCTCCCTCGCACTCGTGACGAGAAGCTCCCAGAACCGTGCCCTTGTCGCACAGCCGTGAACTAGGTCACCCTAAACAAGCACCAAGATTCTCACCGAAAGCATGCCACACTGACCGGGAAGGCCCCACCGAGCTCCGCTCGAGTTAGGCCGGGACTGAGTGACTGAAAAGGACTGTGAGGGAGCCAAGCTGAAGTGACTGCAAACCCTAAACCCTAAACCCTAAACCGTTTTTTAAAACCCTAAACCCTAAACCCTAAACCCCAAACCCTAAACCCCAAACCCTAAACCCTAAACCCTAAACCCTAAACCCAAGGCTTGAAGCATGAGGCTACGGGTTTTCGAGTGCCGCAGGGCCTCAGAATCAACGTCCCAAGGGCTTTCGGCTTCAGGGTTTCCTATGCCCCCCTTAGAAGCTTAATAAAAGCAATATGTTTAATATCCTCTTGGTTTTATATGAACAAAAATAGTAATTCCCATGTGGGGGGCTTGTCTGAGAGTCTAGGGTTCAGGGGATAGGACTGCAGATAGGGTGTAGTGTTTCGGGTTTAGGTGACCTTACGCGCAAAGCAACAACGCCGAGGGCAGCAAAATCCAGGCACCAGAAGTAACCAAAACCCATTGCCCGCTCCAAAAGCCCAGAAGCAACCCAGCCTACTTCGAGTTAAGAGCCCCTTTGGCTAAGCCCGAAACCCTAAACCCTAAACCCTAAACCCTAAACCCTAAACCCTAAACCCTAGCCCTAAACCCTAAACCCCTCACCCCCCCCCCCCCCCCCTCCCCCTCCGAAAGACTTGAGCTCCCAAAGCTCGATGTGGAGGCCCAGGTGCGGTCGGAGAAACATGTGGTGCGCGGCGCCCATGCCTGCTTGCAATTTAAAAATTTAGGCTTTAGGGTTCGGGTTTAGGGTTTAGGGTTTAGGGTTTAGGGTTTAGGGTATTTAGGGTATTTAGGGTATTTAGGGTATTTAGGGTATTTAGGGCATTTAGGGTATTTAGGGTATTTAGGGTATTTAGGGTATTTAGGGTATTTAGGGTATTTAGGGCATTTAGGGTATTTAGGGCATTTAGGGTATTTAGGGTATTTAGGGTATTTAGGGTATTTAGGGTATTTAGGGTATTTAGGGTATTTGGGGTTTAGGGGTTTAGGGGTTTAGGAGTTTAGGGTTGAGTCTTTTTGGGATGGAGTTGTTCCTTGAGTCGAGGCGAAGGAAGCCCAGAACCAGACCCAACACTGACCTCTGATGAAACAAACCTTGCGCACATGTCTAGTGGTCCTTAGCATGGCTACACACCTTGGCGACACAGCCCAGCCATTCCTGCAGGCACCCGAACCCTGAACCCTGTCTTATGAACCGGACCCGAAACCCAAAACCCAAAACCCTAAACCCTGAACCCTAAACCCTAAACCCTCACCCCAAACCGGAAGCCTTATAGCCTAAAGCCGAAGCTACTAGGGACACACCGATTGGTTCTCGAAAAAGCGGGCCGGAGACACAGATGAAGCTTGCGGCTCTAGAAGAAGAATGTCCCGGCCCTGCCTTGATAAAATTACGGTTTAGAGTCTAGGGATGCTTTCTTTAAAAATATTTAGGGTTTAGGGTCTTATTTCTACCTCTTTTTCCTTGCCATTCATTGTCCTCGCCATACATTGTGGTAAGCCAAATGCCAAAGACAGTCTCGTTTACTGTAGTTCCTCAAAGCAAGAGGCTCTCAT